ATGTAATAACACTTGGTCTAAAACATATACTGGGGCTGGAGAGATGGCTCAGCGGTTGAGGGCACTGGTTGTTCTTGCAGAGGATCCAGGTTCGAATCCGAGCACCCACATGGCAGCTAACAACTGTCTGTAACTCCAGTCCCAGGGGATCCGACAGCCTCTTCTGACCTCCGAGGGCGTTGCACGACACGGGTGCACTAACCTACATGCAGGCAATACACTCATATGCATAAAATAAAAATAATAAATAAAATTTAGAGAAAACAACAGCAAAAAAATAAACATACTATACAAACCTTTTTTCTTTATATCTTTATTCCATAAACTTTTTTATAATATTTTAAAACTTTTTAAATTTTGTTAAAAAAAAAAAAAAGTTAAAGCCAGGAGTGCTGGCACACACTTTTAATCCCATTACTTGGGAGGCAGAGTCAGGTGGATCTCTGTGAGATCGAGGTCAGCCTGATCTACATGGTGAGTTCCAGGTCAGCTGGGGCTACAGGGAGACCATGTCTCAAAAAGACAAAAAAAAAAAAAAAAAAAAAAAAAAAAAAAAACAAAAAACAAAGGTTAAGACCTAAACACAGCCTTCAGCCTCGGTGCCACAGGATCCAAGTTACAGTACCATTCACTGTCTTCCTCAGTTGCGTCTTATCCCTCAGGAAGGTCTCCAGGGACAGTGACCCCCACATGGAGCTGTCACCACCCAGGGCAACAGTGCCTCCTCTGGATCCTCCTGGGAAACTGCCCCAGGCTCTCCTTGGGCAAGTTTCAACCCCAGGAGAATGTACCCAGGGTCATTTGCTTTTTCTACTTCTGTTCTGTTCAAGTTTGCTCAGCGTAGATTTTCTCAAGAGTACATAACGTACAGTAAACATTTATTCCTCTCTAGTCATAAAAGTCCATTAATGTTGGGCGCTTCTGACCAACTCCCTGTAAGTTTTCTCTCGGGCTCCTCAATGTCATTTCTCTTCCCTCCTCTACATCACAAATTCGGGGCCAGCTTGGGCTATAGGGAAACCCTGTTTCAAAAACAGAAAGAGATTCTCACCATGGACAACGTGGAGGGGTGACCTAAATGAGGCAGGTAGAGAGAAAGTGTGTGTGTGTGTGTGTGTGTGTGTGTGTGAGAGGAGAGAGAGAGAGAGAGAGAGAGAGAGAGAGAGAGAGAGAGCGCACTAGGGACGCAGGGGCAGAATGGCCTGAGGTATTCATCAGTTCATAGTGCCTTCTAGGTGTTGCTGATCAGTGTGTCTTCCTCAAATTTTTAAGATATCCCAGTGCACTCTGCAAGTTTTTTCAGGCACCCTAGGGTATCTTGATGCATGGTTTGGGAACTGAAGTCCTATGTGTTTGTACAAGCACCTTGTTGTGAGTTCAGAACACTTTCAAGACCACACTAGACCTTCTGGATAGTTCCTCAACTTGTATAGAACAAATTCGAGTTATTTAACTACAAAGAGCAGACCAATACATCTGTACTGAAATTAAACTCTCGAAATAGAAACACATTGGCACATGAATTAATGTTGTTGTCACCAACACATGGATTGATGCTGTGGTCACCAGTGCATTCTCCCAGCCCGCTTGCCCTCTGATGCTGAGGCATCCGGGGGGCTTTCCTTTGTACAAGCTCTTGGCTGGCTGTTATTTCTTCATAGTACCGGTAGAAAGGAATTTAATGTCTTTGTGTCAGGAAAGGCCTATTTATCCTGACAAACTGATCAACCTCCAGGGTGTCCTTCCACCATGAAACTGATTTTATATCTCATCCGCTGGCTAATAAGATGTGAAGTGCTTTTCCTGTCACGCCAAGAGATCACGCTAGTTTCCCTTGAAAGTAGCGGGTGGAATCACAGCAAGTTCTTGATGACTGAGTGTGGGAGCACACAATTTCTCAGCAGAGCATGTCAGAGGGGATTGAGGAGGCTGAGGCCCACTGGAAGGCTCATGCACATATTCTAAAAAGAAAGGGGGTTGGAGAGATGGCTCAGTGGGCAAGACCACTGGCTATTCTCGCAAAGGACTTGGGTTCAGTTCCCAGCACCTGCATAGCAACTGACAACTATCTGTAACTCCAGTTCTAGGGAATACAACACCCTCTTCTGGCCTCCAGGGCATTGAATGTACATGATACACTTACATGCATGCAGGCAAAACACTCATACATGTAAAAGAAAAATAAATAGAACCAGACATGGTAGTTCATACCTTTAGTCCCAGTACTCAAAAAACAGAAAGAGGTGGATGTCTGTGAATTCAAGACCAGTTGGATCTACATAATGAGTTCCAGACCAACCAGGCTACACAGTGAGACTCTGTCTCAAATAAACAAACAAACAAACAAACAAATAAAGAGAAACCTGAGGAGGTGCTGTATCTCAGGTGTAAGGGGTGACGGCTCCAGTCCAGTGAGTCTAACTCAGGGCTCACTTCATCCAGAGTGATAAACATCGGTGATTAAAACTTGATGGTGCTGGCTATCTGTGGAGGGATACCTTGACACATACCCTGTCCCACCATCTTGAACTTTTAAGTCGAGTCGATACCCCGTCACTTTAGAGTTCAGTCTTTCCGCCTTGAGAAGTAAAAACATAATACATGTTGAACATTTCTCACCCTAAATCTAAAATCTTCAAAATATGAAACTTGGAACAGTGACATGACAAGAGGAAGATTCCACGCCTGACCTCATGTGACGGGCACAGTCAAAACATGGGTGCACTGAAAGCACTGTGAAAACACCCTCAGGCTATGTGGGAAAAGCATATACGAAGTAAATGAAGTTTGTACTTTGATTTGTGTTCCATCCCCAAGATCTCTCACCATATAAGTATGTGTATCTGTGTGTGTGTGTGTGTGTGTGTGTGTGTGTGTGTGTGTGTGTGTGTGTGCAAACATTCCAAAACCTGGGGTGGGGGGAGCAAATTTGAAAGAAATCTGATCTCACCCAAGCATTTTGCATTAAGTGATGTTCGACCTGTTGTCTGATCTCTAAGATCAATTTTACCATATCTTTCCAGAAGAGACTTCTACATCATAAAATGTTTTCCTTTTCTGTTTGCTATGTCTTGAGATTAAAATAATCTTCAGATGAGTTTTTATAACAAGAATCCAGATATAGAAGAGGATAGAAGTCCCCTTGCCTGGCGATGGTGATGTGAACGGAAAACTCCTTGGGTGGCTACATCTTAGGAGTCCAGGAGGAACTGCAATGTCTTTTGAAAATAAAATTGGTGTTATTTGTACTATTTGTTTTCCATTCATTTTCGATTCAAATTAGTCTTATCTTTTAAAAATATTTTAGTTATTATTTTTATTTTTAAAATAGTTTATTAATTTTATTTTATGTGTATGCGTGTATTGCCTGCATGTAGGTAAGTGTACCCATGTCATGCAGTGCCGGCTGAGGACAGAAGAGGATGTCGGATCCCCTGGGACTGGAGTTACCAACAGCTGTTAGCTGCCATGTGGGTGCTAGGATTTGAACTCAGGTCTTCTGCAAGAACAGTCAGTGTTCCTAACCGCTGAGCCATCTCTCCAGCCCCAAATTAGTCTTATCTTAATCAAAACTGAGGTAAATTCCTGGCCGATGTTCCAGCTAGGAACTTGAGAGTTCCCAAGCCTCTCTGGAAATCTTCTGAGGGTTCCAGACATTTGGTGACTTTCTCACTGTATCTCAGGTGTAAGGGGGACGATGACTCCAGTCCAGTGAGTCACAGTACAGAGCCACAATCAGGCACTGCAGCAGCCTTGGAACATGGCAGGTGATGGGGACAAGGAGTCACGCCTTCTGGAGGGACCCCGCTATTCCAGATGGTAGTCAGACCGACACAGAGCCTTGCGCTGACCCAGCTGCCACCTTTTCAGCTCCCTTCGTAGTGAAGGCTGAGGGCAGCAGTTATCAGTTGTGTTTGTTCCGAGATCGGGGCTCCTGAGAGAGCATATTCACCGGGTTCACCACCCGCTGCAGAGGTGTGCGGTACACTGCTTGCGGGGTGTGCACCACAGTACACTGCTGGCCTGGTGTGCACCACAGTACGCTGCTGGCTGGGTATGCACCACGCTACGTTGCTGACCTAGCTGTGCTGTCAGCAACAAAGTCCTGTATTTGTTTCCTGTGTCCAAATAAGTCCTCATTCGGGCTGGAGAGATGGTTCTGAGGTTAAGAGCACCAACTGCTCTTGTAGAGGACCAGGGTTCAATTCCCAGCACTCACATGGCAGCTGAAAAACGACCATCAACTCCAGTTCCAGGGAAATCCAACACCCTCTTCTGACCTCTGCAGGGATTGCATGACACAGGTGCACTTACATACATACAGGCAATACACTGATACACGCAAAATAAAATAATAAAAAATTAAAAAGAAGCCTTATTCTAAAGTTCTGTGAGGTAAGACATCTCCATATGCATCCTAAGGGCTGAGGGGGGACCCACGAAGGGACCCGGGACATGGTTCAGCTGCTAATAGCCCATTCCTTCTTTTCAGTACCAAAAAAAAATAATAAAGTCCACTAACATGGGCACATAAGTCTCATGTTTGTAAACAAATACTGAACATGAGCCTGGAATGAAGTTCTTTCCCGTCATTCTGGAACCAGGAGCACTTCTCGGCAGACACTCCCTTACACTGCTACTCATGTTTGTAAACAAATACTGAACATGAGCCTGGAATGAAGTTCTTTCCTGTCATTCTGGAACCAGGAGCACTTCTCAGCAGACACTCCCTTACACTGCTGTCTCTTCCAGTAGGCTGGGGACACCTGCAAGAAAAGAAACAGGGGGCATCATTCATCTCCGTGACCCTGTCGTGGTGCACGGAACACTCTCTAACAGTGAACAGTCTCATCAAATACCACTAGATTCCACTTTGCAAACAGTAATTTGGCATGGAAACCGTCACTCAAGCCATAAAGATGAACACAGAGTTTGGAAAAGGGAAAAATGTCATGGCCAAATGGAGCCGAATAATCCTGACACACTGCGTTCTTTTGCAGTTCATCTTCTGCCGGGATTGCAAGGAAGCATACCACGAAGGCGAATGCAGCTCCCTGTTTGAAGCCTCGGGGGCTGCTGCTCAGGTATGGAGCACTCTCCTTACCCCACAGAGTAAGGCCTGGGACTCTGGTAGGCAGGAGCTCGGCCAGACGTCACCAGAAGTTAGCTCCACTCTGAAAGTCCAAGCGACAGATGGGCAGCCCTGGAACTGGGTCTCCAGCTTCCCCAGGATTATCCCCCTTCTCAGGATGCCATGTAGCTTTCCCAATGGCCATGTGGGCTGTGTCCCTGACCCCTGGTAGTTTCTCTCCCTGGGGAATACAGATAAAGCACATCAGCACACTCAAAGGAGATTGGGGTAAGACAATTGAATGACATTTGAGTCAGAATAATCAATACTGGTCCTGCTTTTGTTTTGTTTTTGATGAAATGCCTTTTGGCAGGCATGTCCAACCTATGGACCATAGGCTGCATGTGCCACAAGTTAGCTATGAATACAGCTCAACACAAGATCATGAACTTACTTAACACATTATGAGCATTTTTTGCACTTTTTTTTTTTTTGGTAACTTGATTGTGCAGTCAGTTCTTGGGCATGAACTTTTTAGATGACAGCTTCTGTTGCAATGTCAACACTCCTGGTAGACTCCAGGGAAAATAATCTTTGTGCATGTACAGATGTTCTTTGCCTTATGATGGGATGACATTCCAATAAATGCATCATAAGATGCAAATATTGTTAAGTTCAAAATGCTTTGAGAAAAATCTTACATGCCAGCTTAGCGACACACACTCTGTAGTCTTGATTGTTGACCCTGGTGATCATGGGATTGTGTAGACATTGCTATCACTGCCCAGCATCACATGAAACCACATAGCCAGTCAGGGACAAGATCAAAATCCAGAAGTCCGAGTACCACTTATGATGAACACATCATCTTCCTTTGTACTGCCATGAAGTTTAAGAATCAAAAGCTGAACCATGGTAAGTCATCTCTACCAAAGTACTATAATATACAAGGATATGGTACACATTTTTAGCAAGCTCATAGACTTTGTTGTGTCTCTATCATGATTAAATAAAGATCACATTTCCTGAACTTTATTCACTAATGTGCCACACCAGGCTTAGGGAAATGCAAATGTGTTTTATTTATTAATTATGGTCAATGAAACCTTAAAAGAGAAGAGTAAAAACTTCAGTACAGTTGATAAATTTACTTATTATTTTTCTCTGGATATAGATGTTAACAAAGGTTTAAACATCAAATCTAGCCAGGCATGGTGGCGCACACCTTTAATCCCAGAACTCAGGAGGCCGAGGCAGGCGGATCTCTGTGAGTTCGAGGCCAACCTGGCCTCTATTAGTGAATCCAGGCCAGCTGCGGCTACAGGGAGACCTTGTCTCAAAAAGACCAAAAAAAAAATCTATGCAAATAAATCCTCCAGTCATTTCACTGATAAGAACCTACCAAGTAGACACTGAAATTTCAGGGCATCTTAGTTCTATAAGTAGCGAATGTTAAAGACAGCCCTCAAATCTGAGCATAGGGAAGCACATCAGTACCTTACAGGTAAGGTGTGCAGCTGTGCTTATCCAATATTAGCATAGCTAAATAAATATCATTAACATGCTCAGGTCTTCTCATCAGCTCAGATGTTGACTACCAACATACCAGGAGATTCCGGACTAAGCTGCTATTTCCCCTGCCAAGGAGGAAGATGTGCCTTATGTTCATTTATTTTAGCTCAGGGACACTCAAGTTCAGGCTCACTGGGTACTGAAAGCAAGAATAATAACAGCTCTGGGCTCCCACCTCCGGGTCACTATAGCAGAAAGTGGTGAAGCATGAGGCTCTGGGAAGTGGGACTGATCCAGCAGTTCACAGCCCCCTGCTCTCAGGACCCCAGACATGGACCAGGGCTTCGAAGAAGGCAGACTGTAGCACCTATTTATTTGTAAGATCAAGAACAGTATTGCTTAGACTTAAGCAGTCGGATTACCTCAGCGCCAAAAGCAGATGGGTCCGTTTTCCTTCAGAGCATCGAAGAAGAGTAGTGGGCGAGACTTGAAGGGAAATGCTTATAGCAATATGTTGAGCCAAAGGCTAGCAGATGCATAAGTTTGTAAAACACTTCCCTGGAAGTCATAGATAGTGGTTCTGAACTTGTGGAGAAGAGCAGAATCAGGCCATCATGACCATTGCAGAGGACACACGGTTACAAGGTGTGTTACAAGCATCTCTCCTGCTATATACTTTATCCATCTCTGCATCCCCGGACCAAAGGCAGAATCTATGCGCAGACACTTAATAGATGCTTGCTGACATTATTTCATCTAGCAAACGTGTATTAAATGTCAGTCGTTGGATAAGGCATTGTTCTAAGACTGGGGATAAAGGGCAAGACCCCGGCTGTCATACTATTCTCATCATTTCATTAGATACCACAAGGTTGCACAAGCCATACAAGGATTCCAGTGAGATGTCAATAATGTACATCATAGTCCTCTAGAGGCTCACTTCTAGATCCCTGCCTCCACAGCTCTCTGTCTTAACACTCCTCCTGCATCTAGCTCTTGATTACAGCCAGACTCCTATTCCTCCTATTTGAAAACAAAGCAAACTACCCAACTAACCAATAAATAAATGTCTACTGGCCAATTGTTGCCAGAGACTAGGACTTGGAGTTTTTGTGCCCATGTTTTCCCAAGTCTCTGATTCCATCAGGATCCCACAGGAAGAGAACCCAACTCAGATGAGCACATGAAGAACTGGTCACAGGAGTGACACCTGCAGTGGTGGGGTAGGCTATAAGACCAATGCCAGTAGGAAAGGTCTGGGTCAGTTTCAGTGGAGGCCACAGTCACCCTAGGACAGAGAGGGCAGGAGAAGGTAATGGTGCTCCATGAACCATGAGCTGGAGCCATTGAAGAGGGGCCTTGGGACAGGAGTAATCGTGGAGGACCCAGCAATAGGCTCAAAGCATGGAGGGACCTCTTGAGTTCTCTCTTCCTCCTTCTGAGCTCTTGCTACTGTCTCCCACTGGTCACCCATAACTGAAAGCCAGGTATAGGCGTCCCGAAGACAGAGCCTGTGGAAGTCAACCACCCAAGGCAGAGGTGAGAACAGCATGTGGAATAACCAGCCTAGTCCTGATGGGCTAACTCACCAGGCCTCCAAATTTTCCTTACTTCAGCCATAACCGAAGTTCCTCTCGGGTATGAGAGGGATGAACGACAATGGCTTTCCTCTTGGGAAACAGGACAAAGGGGTTTTATTTAACAGAGCTGCCTTATTTCCTATTGCTCGCATTTCTCCAACAGTGTGGGGGAAACCCTGTGCAGTTTCACTGACCTTCAACCTTGAAGGGACAACACTCTCCACATCTGACACCTAATTGCGCCCCTCCTTGGAACCAAAGCCTTTTAATGTGTCTGTGTCCCAATTCTGCTAACACTGACAAAACGCCCTTCTCTGCTTTCAGCCCACCTCACTCCCACCGCTCTTTCCCGTCAGCCACTTACAGCCCCTCTTGGTACTCGTCCCTTTGGAGCTGATGTTTTCTGTGTCTGTGATACTGCATTCTTCAGCCAGACAAGCCTGTTTCCACTGGGGCCCCATCAGCTTTTCCCATCAGTTAAGCTGCTTGACCCAAAACTTAATGCGTTTTTTGATTAATGCAATATTAAAAAAAAAAAAGGAAACTCAAAAATTGGTTTTCAATTGGTTTTAAAATATTGAAAAGGCTTTGAGTTGAAAGTGCTAAGAGTTTGGGAAATCTGTGGCATAAGATCAATCCATCGCAGGCTAATACGAGTCCAGTCCGGTTTGTTCTCTCCCCTGCTTGCTTTCCCTGACTCTGGTTCCCTCCATGTTCTCCCCCTGGAGGCTTCCTAATAACGGAACACTGGCTCTTACAAGCCACAGAAATTGTTTCATTCTCCCAGTGGTTCTAAGTAGTGGATGGTACTCTCCCTATTTAACATCAGGGCAAACTGAGTCTTCCCACAACTGTCTAAAGCCACCAAGGAAATCATTTTCAGTGGCTCTAGCTGAGCAGCGTAGTTTGGGCTAATGAATCTGCAGTGCCCTAGAAGAACGCATCCACCCTTGCGTGCTCTGCTCCTACACAACCTTCACAACTCGGAGCCCATGTCTCCTCCTCCACGAAGCCCTCTAAGCCTAGACAACTGCGTACTTCTCCTACATATTTCTCACACTATAGTGCTGTTCCCACAGCATCTTTACACCCAGTGTGATGGCTAATCCTGGGTGTCAACTTGACTGGATCTGGGATTAACTGAAATCAGAGAGATCTTGATTGGATCATCTGAAGCTGGAAGACACACCCTAAATGTGGGTGTCACCTTCTGATGGCAGCCCGTATAACAGGCCAAGGCAGAGGAGAACGCCAGGCTTCTTGCTGCTTGCCTTCTCTCTCGCTGCTGATTTTGCCTTGCTGCTGTAGGCTGAAGACTAGCCGATCTTCTGGAATTTGTCAGACCTTCAGCACCGGATTGGGACTACTGAGACATCCAGCTTTGTGGACTGAATGACTACGGATTCTCAGCCTCTCCAGTGTGGTGCAGCCATTGTTGGACTACTTAGACTCTTTCCTGTGAGCTAAGCTGATAAATCTCTATACATATATATTCATTCTACCGGTTCTGTTTCTTTGGAGAACCCTGACTAATACACCCAGGTAAATTGTACCTAGCAGACATTTGTTAAATGTTTGCTGAGTGACTAGCAACGCCCTTTTTCACCCCCAACTCCTCCCTCCTCTCAAAGAAGTTGCAAAAGTACTGCAGAAGAATCAGGCTTTTTTTCCCAATCTTGGTAGTCTTTTGACTCATAAGAGAAAGTAAGATTCCCATAGTGAACTACACACAGTTCCCAGCAGCAGCCTTCTGGATTATGGACATAAGACCAGCATTTGCCTAGGATAAAAATAATCATGTACACTGGTAATATATGTGCTTGCAAATCATTTATAAATGCCCCTTCTTATTTTGACCTCATCACGTTTTGTGATAGGCTTTTATTACAAGGAAGGGAGAGGCCACCCAGGGGTGTAATGC